GTGCAGCTCCTACACGATGCAGCATATATGGGGGACCCCTTTCAAGGGTATCCAACGCTTCGGTCCTCGAGACCCGCCTCGTTGTCGCTTTGTTTTGGTTCGGTTCTATGGCTGGGACAGTTTATTTTTATTGCCAAGCGGCGCTACTCCCTGGCACATCGATGGGGTGCTTGTCAGACAAAAGGCAAATGCTCCCATTTGTCATCGCGACGACGGGCTGCCGTTTGGCGAGCATTCGGCGGCAGTTGTCAGCCGTCAGATTGCTGATTCCCGAAAACAGAGGGAACCGAAAACTGCCACAACAGCAGCTCGAGTGCACAGATTGTTTGCTTTAAAGAATCACACGACGATAAGTTTCTGGCAGCTTCTGGCAGGGTCCGGCCCCCCATCGATGGGGACGGCCTTTTTGTGCATAATAAGCAGCTCTTAAAGTGGCTTTAATTAAACATCGATATGCATTTAAATATGCGAAAGCCCTTACATATTTAATTAAAAGAAAATTGTATCCTGTTCCCATTCACAAAGGGACTGCGTCCTCGGTTTTAATTGCGCATTTCATGTGTTTTAATGCGACTGGCCACATAAAAGACAGACCCCCCCACCCCACCCACCGAGGGGGATTGTAATGAGTGCAGGGCCGAAAGGAGAAAAACCAGCGAATGAATGCAAACATAAATTTTATACGTTTTTCAGCGGGATCTGGGAGCCACATTGATATGGAAATAAACTCTGCCGGGCCTCCGCTAATCAAATGTAAGCACATTTAATGTTTAAATAAACAGAAATGAGTTCTTCCAGCGCAAATAGAAGAAAGACCAAAGCTGGCTTAAGGCCGGACTAGGGCTGGGGCTGGGGCCTGGGACCTCCTTTGATTAAGTCCCGCATAAATATTTATGTGCCGTCGAAGCGGCAGCAAATATGGACATTCATGACAGGCAAAGTGGTATTTAATTGAGAAGTAAAATACGACCAAATTATACATGAGGCACGTGGCAAAAAGCGGTCGGGTCTGCCGGCAACGAATGACAGATACCCAGGGAAGAGTCTGCTCTGCCCCAAACTAATCCTAATCATGGCTTATCAGAGGGTATAATAGGTGCCCCCAACTGTTGCACTCGGCAGTCCCCAGTCCCCTCTTCTGCTCGCTGGAGCACAAAATTCGAAGCACCATCTCCAGTATGAAACCAAACACATGCGATGCGATGCGATGCGATGATGCCACTTGAAAAATATAACATAAATTTTATTATTGAAGGGAAATGGAAGCCACTTGCAGACGTTTTTTCCAAACAAAACAAAGTCACTGCGCGACTGCGAATTTGTGTGTGTATTCAGCAGCCTCCGATTTTATTCCTTTTGAAGTGGCACGACCAGCAGGGGGGGGCCCCCTCCCACAGAAGGGGCGCCCACACAAACAAAGTTGAGTTTATGTCTGGCCCATAATTCTTCTTAAAGACTTTAACGCTTTTTTAATAATTTTTATTGTCAAAAATTTCATTTTGGGTATTATTTGCATTTCGGAGGAAGTTCTTTCTTTTTCTGTTTCGTTTCAACTTTGTTTTGCGTCTCAGTTTAATTTGTTAATTTATTTGGACTGTCTGGGCTGGAACCCGGGGCTTTTGGCTGTTAAAGCCAGATCTCTGAGAGTTGAGAGATATTAATGCCATGAAAATGAAGGCAAATTGTGTATTGATTTGTTGAACCAGCAAAGGTCGCAGTCGAATGAGAGGCCACTGCATTACAGTGCGGATTTGAGTGTCAATCGATGGGCAAACAGCAAACAAAACATTAACTTCGACGAGTGTACATAAATGCTCTCCCAGTTAATCCCCTTTGCTCGCCAATATTGTCCGGCCGTGTTTTTTAAGCCGCATTTATGCGTTCGCTTTTATTTAATTTGCATTCATCTGCGGCTCTCTTTGCAGCTTTTATTGAAATCCGTTTCAGCTTTTTTTCCGCCCCTTTGTCGGTGGGAAAAATATCATTTGCCATTTGTATTGCAACATTTTGTGGCATGGCAGAGCAAACAAGCGGAATGAGACGAATGCGATGCAAATAAAAGCTGCAAGCACTGCGAGCGAATTGTCGCAGCTGCAATTTTTCAAATGTCAAATCAAAACACAAAACCAATTACTTTCGATGATTAATTACCAGCAGAACAAATGTTGAGGACCACAGAATGATTTTGATTGCGACCCCGGGCCAACTGTTTGCTTGATTTATGATGCCATCAGCCCTTTGCAGACAAGTCCCTGATGTGCCGGAACGGAATCCCCCTTCATCGAGTCCTACCTTAAAATTCATAGGGTTTTCGGGGGGGGGGGGAGCGACTTAAAACTCTGGAGGTGTCGGGCCCAAAGCCGCAAGTAGAACAGCAGCTGCATGTCATTAACTATATGGAGCTCCAAGGAGTAATCCTCTCTGGTCCCCGCCATCGCCACAGCCACCGCACCGCCACCACGGGACGTATGCGTAATGCGACCAAAGTTTTCAGCGCTTCATTTTTCGAGCATTTAACACCCACACTCCCTCCCCATTTGAGTGGGGAGGTGTGTGGGGCACCTTTTGCCACACTTTCCATTTCGGTTTTCCGCTCTTTTCTTCATTTTCCTTGGTCTTTTTTTCACCTATTTTGTTGTCATCAAAGCTGCGGATTATGCGCACAAAAACGAGAGTTTATGTATGAAATTATGCAAAAGAGAAGACCAGATGGGGATGATGATGGTGCCCCGTTCAAGGTTATAGCCGAAATGGGTCTCCCCCCCCCCCCCCCCTTTGTTCAATTATAAATGCAATTTTTGTGGGCGATTATAATGATCAAGATGGAGAGTGAAATTCGCTGTAGGCCTGCATTGAAATTTCATATTTTAATTACAATTTGCTTTGGCTTTGGCCAGTGACCCAAATTTATTTATACGCTCCTCTATGGGAAAGAAAGAAAGGGTTCTTTTAACCCTTTTTGCGGCCAGTGTCGTCCCCAGCTGCATGCCTGGCTGCATAATTATGTTGCCAAACTGGTTGGCTGGCTGGCTGGCTGGCTGGCTGACCGGCAAAAACCAGAGAAAAAACCACTCAAATGTGCAGAGAAAAGGGAGGAAAAAAGAGCCCCTCCCTCGGCGCGGGACCCAAGTTATTTGAGCATGACGAATGGCTTTGTCAAGTTTACCACTTTTACGGATGATTTTATTAAAAATTGCCCAGACACAGGTGCACTGGGTGGCGGGAAGTTTTCCATATTCCATATTTTGAGCCAACTAATTTCAAGAATTGAATGCTTTTCCCCCGAGTTTTCCCAGAATTTTCCATTTTAATGCCGTCAAAACCTGTTGTCGAAGATTAAATATTTATGGCGCCCATTAATATCATCTTTGGCCGTCCGAAGCCAATAAAATGTCCCTAATGTCGCGATATTTATGGCACGGCGCTAATTTATGTCCTAGCCTTGAAGTAGTCATTGTAATTATCCAATGATTTATGCGATTCCCTCTGCGAAAGCGATACACTTTCTCGGGGCGAAGTTCTGCGGAAACCCTCCAAGGGCGGAAGCAGTCGCGATCCGATGCCCCCCGCCCTGTGGTTGCGGTTTCCGATCGACCAGACATTGGAGCAGGTGTAACCGAACCGCGAGACAAAGGCTGGGGCCGATACATGTGTTTTTCTCAAGGGGAAAATAAACAAAAGCCCTGAAAGGCTCAAGATTTTATAAAGAAAAGTGTACGGTAACGGAGTGGAGATGAGAAGCAGGAGGACTATTGGAATATACCAGAATATATCCAGTCTCGGCTCGAAGTTGTTTTTTCTACGAGAAGATATAGTTTTGTGCTTTTCCAGTTTATAATTCTTCAAGAATCACTGATAATGAGTCCCTAGATCCCTTTCAGGCTTTCGATGGAGCGCGGGTGGGGCTCTATCCTCCTCAATATTTTGAATTGTGTTTGTAATCGTAAATTCTGAGTCCCGGACCAACTTTTAAATTTTAATTCAACAAAAAAAAATACTTTTCAACTCAAGTCATGGAGAAAATTTTCAACCACCAAATTAAGAACATTTTCATCCTAAACAAAGGCCAAATATTTCAAAAAATATTCATTCGCGCAGTTCGGACAGTGCTCAAGCCCTCGTGAGTACCGATTGAAATAAATCCAATCTGCCTGCCCATCGCTGATCGTCTGCCAAATGAATTTTAGATAAACCCATCCATAAAATGTGCACCGCATTCGAAGTGGAGTCTTCCGTCGCACTTACCTTATGCTCGGCGGCATGTAAATCGAAAATTATGAAAATTGTCACTTTACATCACGGCTGCTGCCGAGCAGAGCCTCTATAAATCACGGGCCAGGGCCACGGACCACACAAACACCGGAGTATCGGGGTCTGGGTGGGGTGGGGGGACAGAGGTCTGAATATTCAAATCAGTGTCTGGCTGCCAATAGATGAGATTTGTTACACAGTCACACACGGGGAGGTGGGGGGAGGGGGTCCTGCACGGCACACGCGGCAATATTGGGCTAGAGAATGTAGCTGGTTCCGTTTATTTAGCAAATGAAGCGTACTTTTTGTTGACTCTGTTGCCAGATTCACTCGGGGGGGGTTCACTCGGCAGTTTTTCGCCTATTTTTTGGCACTAGATGGCGATAGATCGGCCGAAACCGGGATGAATGGCCGGAATTACAGCGGCTTTGGAGAGCCAAGATTGGGCCCAGTTCAGTCAAGGCTTATCTGCCGGATCACAATCGCCAGAAACACGCTTAAAACTTCCCACAGATACGGCAGCAGAGAGAGTCGCGACCGGATTGCTTCACGAACCGCGCTACCCGAGACACAAACGAACTTTGGAGGCGCCTCGAGACGCGCGCTGGCTGTTAAATACGAGGCCCGAAGCCGAGAACAGTGGCGGTCTGTCGAACAGGTTCGAGCCAGAGCTTGCAACATGTTGCAAGGGGTACGGACCCGAAGCGGACTTCGGGGATTCCATGTTTTCAGAATGAAAGGCTCTGATCTTTGCTTTCACGGTGGTCCGTTGGTTCTATTGTTCTTTGGCTGCAAGTTTCAAAATTGTTGGTACAGAGTACAGAGATCTGTTGGGGTGTCCGCTATTTCACCAGCCGCAGGGACAGGAGCTGCAGCATCCACCGCAAGGGCCACAGCAAGGCCCGCAAGGACCACAGCCACCGCAAAGTCCACAGCCACCACAGGGTCCACAGCCACCGCAGGGTCCACAGGGTCCACAGCCACCGCAGGGTCCACAGGGTCCGCAACTATCGCCACAGCAGGGCGGACACGGTCCAATATATCCAGGATTGAATAGGCAACCCATTGTGCAGACGGCCTGCAAGAAAATAAAACTAAAATAAACAAATTTCGGGGTTTATTTCGGGGGAAAAACATACGAAATGGACCCCGAACGGAACAAATTTGGAAACAGTCAGACCCGGACGGTTGGAATTTCGAGAGTTGAATGGGAATGAGCCTCACCTTGACTCCTGAATTCCCAAAGTGACGCTAGAATCCAGGGGAAACTGTTGCTTGGCCAGAAAGAAAAGAAAAGAAATAGGAACTTATCTCAAGTGCAGCAACCTTGCGAGGATGACAATGCAGCCGACAAAAGTTTTTGCTTAAAAACTGAAACTCAAAGAAGCCGCACAACTTTGGCCATAAAACACGAAACAAAGCCACACGCACACAAAGAGCGCGCTCCTTGAGGTTGGGGAGGGGGGTTGGGGGGGGTCTGGGAAAAGCAATGAAAATTCCGACCTACCGCAATAAATTCCGCGGGAAAAACAACGCGAGCACTGCCGGAATGAGAGTGAAATGGCCAACACACAGGGGCCCCAAAAAACGCCTCAAGGAAGCATAACGCACACAAGGACACCTCCAGTACGGCGCCATAAATCGCGCTAAGCCGAAACAAAACATAGAAGCCGAACAGCATCAGGCATCAGATTCAGGTGGAACAGCAGGCCGGCAGCAGGCAGTCGGGGAGCCGGAGAGCTGGGCCCCCCAAAACCTTTGATCTGACACAATGCTCCACATTCTATGTTTAGGATTTGGTTCCGATTTGATTCCGATTCGGCGACTCGGGTTCGTGTTGGAAGCGCGGCTGCGCACTGGGCCGGCTGGCCGCCGAACAGCTGTTTGGGGCCAGACCTTACCTACGACAACATGAGCCTACTTTCGCAGTGCAAGCCTGCCCCCCACCGCCGGCCCCCAAAAGCAAAGTCAACGCGAATCTTTTGTTGCAGATTCATTTTATTACGTTGGGGATGCCACCGCAGGTGTTGGGTGTTTCGTGGACCCCTCCAAGGCTCTAGTTTTCGAACAGCAACATATTTCTTCAGCACTAATCGTCAGGGCGGTACAGTCGCGCTGCAGGAGTACAGATATCTGTTGGAATGTGTGCACTGGATCCGCCATTCAGGGACTCACCAGTGATCCTCTCACCAGCCGCAGGGACAGGAGCTGCAGCACCCACCGCAGGGCCCGCAAGGACCACAACAGGGCCCGCAAGGACCACAGCCGCCACAGGGTCCACAGGGCCCACAGGGTCCGCAGGGTCCGCAGGGACCGCAGGGACCGCAGGGGGCGCAGCAGCCAGGGGGGCAGGGACCCACATAGAAGGGATCGAACTTGCAGACGATAACCACCATGATGGCCAGCAACTGTCGCGCACTCAGGGACTTCGAAAGGGACTTTCTCGGCCTTTGGTTTATCGAGTTCGAAATTTGGAAACTAAGAAACCAATTTTGTTCGTTTTTGTGCCGAAGAAATATATCGAGGCGTTTCCTTGGCTACGAATTTGGAAAATCTGTTTCTATTGTCTCATTTTTGGCCTCCACAAAGTAGATGTTTACCGAAACAGTTGTACGAAATGAATGAGCTCCGGGTCGGGGATGTTCGAGCAAGGGAAACGAACAAATCTGGACAGCTCCGGAACAGCCCTCTTCTGTGAATTCTTCTTCTTTTACTGTAACCTTAAATTTTCACCCGTGTGTCCCGCCTGCTTCGAGCTCCGCCTGGAATCCTTGTGGTTGGGGTTTTCCTGGAGGGTCGAGGAGGTCTTTTTCTTGCTGGCAGGTTTCTCCCTCACTTTCGGCCTTGTCTTCTGCTGGTCATCGGGATTGGGCTGCGCCCTGGTCCAGCTCCGGCCAGAGTCGACCATTCGCTCCACCGCACTGTACACCCGATGGCCGACGCGGCGGATGGTGGAGCATGTGGGACCCATGTTCTCACAGTCCACTAGCACGGGCGTGCCTTCGACGGTCGTCAGGCTGTTCAGGCATCGGGCGCAGGACTCCACCACGTTGGACAGACCTTCGCCCAAGTGCACGGAGACTCTGGCGGTCGAGTGGGAGACGGCCAGCAGCAGGGCCAGCACACCCACCACCCCAATGGCCTTGTGAATCAGATCCGTGGCGGAGATCATCGTGTAGCACTCGAAAAACAACAAAATCCCCCCTGAAGCGGTGACGGCGAAAGCAAACGGTACTCTGTTATCCGGCCAGGACCGACATAATATCGTATGTGGATCTGGCCAGCCCGTAGATCCACCGAGTGGCCCTTACGGCCACGTTCGCGTCGACGACTGTCCGCTGCTCCGCGTGCAGCTCCGGAGAGGAGTCGCTCATGATGTGCAGGACGCTGCGCATGGGCAGCAGAATGGGTGCCACATCCAGTAGGGCCTCCGCCTCCGCCTCCCGGTGGCTGCCCAGCTGTGCGTAGGAGTCGTTTACGATGTGGACGAGGCTGCGCATGGATATCACCAGGGGATCCATGTCCAGCACTGGCTCCGCCTCCCCGTGGCTGATGACAAAGGACTGGTGCAGGATAATCACCCAGCTGCGGATGGCCGGCACTATGTGATCCCTGGTGTAGGCGGAGCCCGCAGCCACTACCTCTTGCACCTCCCTCGCAATGTCGCGGAACAGCTGAATGGCCTCGTGGAGGTCCGTGGTGGCGGCCATGGCCGGAGAAGCACAGGCTCGAATTTGGATCCAGATTTGGGTGTGGGATTACTTTTTTATTGGCACAGAAAACAAATTTGGATAGTTAGCCTTCTCTTCCCGCCTCCTGACGTTTGCTGAGTGTTCACAACGTGCTGGCCCCTCAGCAGCAGTGGCGCCAGCCGCACGGCGTGTAGCCCGAGTAGCACCCGTAGGGGCACGGCCCGCATGCGCACTGGGGATAGGGTCCGATGTAGAACGGATTGAATTGGCACTTGTTGCAGCACGAATTGCACATCCTGGACACTCGGCAAGGGCCTGCAAATCAGTCGATCAGTTCTGTATCGAGGAGCATCTTGCGTCGGACTCACCAGCAAATCGGGAAGGAACAACGTATCCAAATGTGTCGCCTGCAACTGTATACGACTGGTATGGTGATTCTGAATTGTTGGAATGTTAAACAGGGGCTTACCTCGAAGAGCCTACTTCCTGGCTCTGTTTATGGGGGCTCTGGTCCTTGGCTGACGACCGCAGATGGAGATCAGGAGGCCGAGACTCACGAAGCGGGACTGGAGGATGGGTCCGGCCTCGTTGGGATGCGAGAGGATCAGTATGCGTTCACGGTGCTCGTGCGGCTTGAGGATGTTCTCGAAGTGCCAGATGCTCAGGTAGGTGCCGCGGCAGCCCACCGCCAGGCGGCTGTCGTCCAGGGCGATGTCGATCGTGCTGATCGGTGCACTGTGGTAGGACAGGCTCCGGATAGGGCGCTCGTCGGTCGTGTCCCAGATGATGAACATGTGGTCGAGGCCGCCGGAGATCAAGTAGCGGCCGCTCCGGGAGAAGGCCAGCGCGCTAATGGGCGCCTTGTGGCCGAAGAAGAGGCGCACCTGCTCTCCCCTGCTGGCCACGTCCCACATGCGGACCGTGAGGTCGGCTGAGCCGGTGGCCAGGTACCGGGAGTTCGGGTGGTAGAGACAAACCTCCAGCTCCGCCAGGTGGCCGCAGATCCGGAGGATGGGCTCGTCGCAGCTCTTAATCCAGACCCGTGCCAGGCCGTCCTCGCAGGCAGCGGCAAAGTAGTCGGTCACCGGCGCGAACACGACGCTGCGGACGGGGCTCTGCTGCGTGTAGATCCCCGCGCACATTTGGAGCACCAGGCACCACAGGCGAATGGTGCCGTCCTGGGAGCAGGTGACCAGGAAGCGTCTGTCCGGGGAGAAGTCTCCGGTGACGATCTTCCCACTGTGCCCGGTGAGGACGCTCAGCACCGTCACGGACTCGGTCAGCTTCACCTCGACGAGGCGGATCGCGAAGTAGTCAATGGCAATGGCCGCCCAGCAGCCGTCCTTGAAGAGGACCGCGCAAATAACCTCCTCCGACTCGTTGAGCAGGGGCGGCCTCAGGAAGCACGAGCTCAGTTGCTGGTCGCACGGCTGCAGGTGCAGACTCCTCCTGGACGAGTGCGTCAGGTCGGCCCAGCGGATTACCTCCAGTGGGGGACGACGCAGGGACAGACGCTCCTGTGGCGCGGTCTCGAGGTCGTCGATGGCGATGTGGCCTATAAACACGTTCTGTTGGTCCAGCGGCCACTTTGCCCTGTACTCGCTGAACTTGATCGAGGCTGCCTGTGGCATTTCAATGCGAACCAAGTCGCGGCGCAAGAGCAGCTCCAGGGCCCTGCCTGGCACCTGTTGGGGCCTGCGGATACGCCTCAGCTTGGCGATGCTCCGGTCGTAAATATCCTCCAAGCAGTCCTCGTTCTCCTCCAGAAAGCGCTTGGCCATCTTGTGGTCGCCGCCGACCACCATTTGCAGGTAACCCAGCACCAGCATAGGGTACAGCAACGCGGATATCTCGTATTTGAACTCGTTGGGCACCTCCTCGACCAGCTTCCGGATCTCCAGGAAGGTCTGCTGGTACTCCAGGTACATGAAATGCGGCGTGAAAAGTGGATATTCCAGGAGTTCATTGCACGTGAATAGGGCGTTGCCTTCGAAGAACTCGTCAAAGTGGCTTTTGGACTGAACCTCTACCTCGCTGGAGTCGTCACTGTCCTCTTCTTCGCTGTCGGTACTCTGATCGTCCTCTCCGGACTCCGAGTCGTCAGAGTCATCATCAGAGGGATCCTGCGGCAGCTGCGGGTTAAATCTGTCCGGTTTGTGCCCATCTCCAGACCCATGAATTCCATCAGACACCTGCATGGCATCCCCAGGGGTGTTTTCGCCTGCCCTGAGTGCTTTACCGCCCAGGCCCTGGACGATTGAATGAAAATACGAATTATACATCATATCTCGGTTCTTCCGTGGTACTTACATTGTGTCCGTTCGCTTCGTTGACTTCGTTTTCACTATTCATATTCGTATCGATCAATTTCGTACTTTTAATTAATTATTTCACACAATTTGCGACAATTTCCACGTGCTTCGGTTCTCAGCTACAAGTGCTGCAGGGCCAGGGCTGCAGACTCACGGCAATGAAATCAGTGTCAATTATGCTTCGATAACTCCTTAAGTGAGCTAAAAATATACGAAATATAGGCCGTATAAGACTTGGCTAGAAACAGAGACCACCTTATGGGAAAAGCTTGCAGTGAGCGCATGAGATTCTGCGGCCAGCTGGCAGGGCGCCCGTGTTGGCAAACATCGTTTGGTCAGTTCTTCGACTGATAACACTAATTTTGCGCAGTAAAGTCTGTCATCATTGTGTGAGGCAAACAACTCACAGCCCGGGCCTTTATTTCAGTCAAATATAAATTGTATATTATGTTATGTTCTCATGGTGCCCAAAGAATTCGGAAAGTGTGGGATTATTCAGGCATCTGAAGGCTGGGCGTAGCGGCGGGTCCACAGCCGTGCCATGCGGTCGTGCTCCTCGCGGTCCGTCTTGTACAGCTCGGCAGCGTCGCAGTTCAAGGGGCTATCGGGGTTGGGGTCCGACAGCAGCGACCGGATGGACAAAAGTATCTTCTCCACGGTCAGGGCGGGCGACCAAGCCGAGCGCAGAATATCCACGCAGATAGCGCGGTTGTGTACGTTGCAATGGTAGACCTTTGTAAGGAACATCAAAAATGGCGGTTGAGCCGGGTACGCCTGCGGAAATTGAAGGCGTAGTTCAAAGTGGCCGCCCTCGTAGGGCGTGTCCGAGGGCCCGAGAATAACGGCCTTCCAGTCGTAGATACAGTCGTCCACTAACTCCACCGTGCACCCGTCCGTCGGATCGCTCGTCATTTTCTCCATCTCCTTGCGGAGGCGGCGTATGCCAATTTGAGAGACCATTCGTTTTTCTGGCACCGCAACTGGCAAGCTTGCGGGCGAAGCTTCCATGACGGCACTCCCACCGGTGTCACGTTGTGTACCGCGGCGATTGGTTCCGCGGCGGTTGGTTCCACGGCGATTGGTACCGCGGCGATTGGTCCCGCGAAGGTTGGTAACGGGAGGGTCCTCAGCGGGCGGCTGGTTGGCAGCGATCTGGATTGAACGGCGCTGGTTGGCAGCCCTCTGGATTGCACGGCGCTGGCTGGCAGTGGTGGTAGTCCAGCGGCGCCTGGTAACGGATATTGCCTCCACTGCGCGGAGGAACGCAGCGCGTCGGGCCAAGGGCGGGGCGGCAGAGGACGCCTGGTTGGCCGCCAAAATACGAGCATTTTTGCGGGGTGCCATTACCTGCAAGACGGCAAACAGCTTAGAAACAGTTTTACGGAGAATACGATAATTTCTTACGTTCAGATTATTGAAAATGAGATTTTTATTTTCCCAGAATGACTGAAAATGTCGCACACGAAATGAAAGTGAGAGAGGTCTGTTTTACAGCACAGTTTGTTTCGACTCGGTTTCCAGCACGGCTTTCTTTGACTCGGTTACCAGCACAGCTTGCTTTGACTTGCTTTCTAACACTACGTTTTGCCCAGCTGTTTCTCTGTTTTGAACTTTCACGTTTCGCCCGCCGTATACGATTCTGTATTGCATACAGTCAAATAATTATTTTGTACTGTATTGCCCCAGCAATAATACACAGGATTGGAATTGGGAGTTCTTTTAAGTTTTGTGTGGATTATAAGTCCCACTGGCACAATAACTGCTTTATTTTCAAAAGTTTTGCGGCTGAAAAGGGAACGATGCGATACGGAGGGCGGGCACATAGCACAAATTCAAATCGTACTGAAACACATCTTGCTTGAAAAATAAAGTTTTAAATCAACATTTCAATAGCAACAAAAAGTGGAAAATAATGATGGTAGTTGCTGCTGGACGAACGCTCAATGGGGAATTAGTCCGAGCAGCCATACACGTGTTTTTGTGTGTTTCTATTGGATACATTCGATTAAAGTGATCCATATTCTAAAGAAATATGTAACGGGTGTAACGAGCGGTCCACTGTCGTGCCTTGGGATTGGGGTCCGCCAGCAGCGATAGACGTCTGATGAACACAATAAGATTCTCAGTGATCATGGCCGGCGATCTTCCGTCCGACTGCTCCCCGTCCTGACGAACTCGCGGATGATATGACGAAAGTATTTTGCAATTTCTATGAAACATTTAACATTTTCACAGCCTACGCCTTTATTTCAGTCAAAAAATAATTGTATGTATATGTTACCATGTAGCCCATGTTCATGTGTGTTTAGTGACAGATACCAACAAAGATTCTCAAAGAATTTAGAAAACGCTGTGTATCCGTGGATGAGATGTTTGGGATTATTCAGACGTTGAGTCCACTGGCTGGGCGTAGCGGGCGGTCCACTCCTGTGCCATGCGGTCGTGCTCCTCGCGGTTCGTCTTGTACAGGGCGGCAGCGCCCCCGTTCAAGGGGCTATCGGGGTTGGGGTCCGACAGCAGCGACCGGATGGACAAAAGTATCTTCTCCACGGTCAGGGCGGGCGACCAAGCCGATTGCAGAATATCCACGCAGATATCTTCCTGGTAAATATTGCAGTGGTACACCCTTGTACGGAACAGTATATCCGGTGGTTGAGACGGGTACGAGGGCGGAAAGTGAAGGCGTAGTTCAAAGTGGCCGCCCTCGTAAGGCGTGTCCAAGGGCCCGAGAATAACGGCCTTCCAGTCGTAGATACAGTCGTCAACTAACTCCACTGTGCACCCGTCCGTCGGATTGCTCGTCATGTTCGCCATCTCCCTGCGGAGGCGGCGTACGCCTAATTCAGTGTCCATTACATTTTCTGGCGCCGCAGGTCCACGGCCAGCGGTCATAGCCTCCGCCATTTCAAGATCGGCACGCTGTTGGAATAACATCTCGAAGTACTCGAAGTTCTCACGGGTTGTGGGGTGCCAGACACCATCCAAATACACTACGGCGTTGACGCGGACGCGGTTAGTCTCGCGGTTGACAACGGGAGGGTCCTCAGCGGGCGGCTCGTTGGCAGCAATCCGGATTGCACGGCGCCGGCTTGCAGTGGTGGTGGTCCTGCGGCGCCTGGGAGCGGATATGGCCTCCACTGCGCGGAGGAACGCAGCGCGTCGGGCCAAGGGCTGGGCGGCAGGGGACGCCTGGTTGGCCGCCAAAATACGTGCACTTCGGCGGGGTGCCATTACCTGCAAGACGGCAAAGAGCTTAGAAACACTTTTACGGGGAATACGATAATTTCTTACGTTCAGATTATTGAAAATGTGATTTTTATTTTCCCAGAACGACTTACAACGTCGCACATGAAATGAAAGAGGCCTGATTTCCAACATAGCTTCCCTTGAATCGTTTTCCAGCACGGCTTCCTTCGACTCGCTTTCCAGCACTACATTTTGCCTAGCTGTTTTGCCGTTTCTCTGTTTTGAACTTTCACGTTTGCAAAAGTTTTACGCCTGAAAAGGGAAAGGGTCCTTATTATCCGCACAAACTGGCTTGCTGGCTGGGAAAAGGGCCAATCATTTTGCAGCAAAAAAGAGAGCAACAAGCATTCTATAATTTTATCTTGGGCCATGTTATTCTTAATATCTGTATTACACTAGAATTTGCCAACTGACTATCTGCCAAAAAGAGATAGCCATAGGGGAAAAGCTTGAAGTGCGAGAAGGAGGAATAGTAGAGCTGGGAGCTGTGAGCAGCGACTGCTACACTTTTAAACAGTTTTTTCCCAAAAAGCGACTCAGCTGTTCTACTGATAGTCGTGAGAGTCGTGTGCCCGTACTGCATTGATTGCATGATACTATTTCGATACGTTAATAGCTTTGTATGGGAATAATGTGAAGTGTATAGCATTGCGAAAAAATAACAATCAAGAAATAACAGAAACTGCGTAGTAGTGTTCTGCTGTGCCTTTAATTGGCATTTTGCTGGGAGCGCGGCTGGAGAGAGCGTCCCGGCGCGGTGCTTTTGCATTTGAGAGAGCGAGCTCAAAAAGGAGTTGCAAAAGGAGAGCACTAAAGCAAGAGCCGAGAGAGGCTGAGACAAGAATGTGCTCGTGTGCTGGCTCATGGAATTGAGAGAGGGAGAGAGAGAGAGAGGCAAAGGCGCGACTCACTGCGCTCGAGGCTTAAGCAAAACTGCAAGAGTGCAAAGAGCCCCTCTCTGCCTCTGCCGCTGCCTCTGTCACATACAAAAGCTTTGAGTCGTCGGATTATTAATCAAGCGATTGTGCATTTTGGAAGTTTTGAATATGTAAAACACGAAAGATTGTGTGCTATAGCGATCTATTTAATTTGAGTAGAAATAAGTTTGTTGTCAGTGGAATCTATTGCTACAGGCCACCCTCCATGTTGCTGGAGTCAGGATCCATTTGGTTGGCTTTTCTGCGCCTGCGATTGGATGGGGGTCGACGGCGGCGTCTGCGCCGGGGCTGGGGAACAGCCGCACGGCGGATGCTCTCCCGGACACGGACCGCACTCCCAGTTGTTGCAGTGCCCCTCCACAACGCAGTCGGGGTCACAGCAGGGGGGATTGGGTCCGATGTAGCCAGGATTAAACACGCAAGGCATGTTGCAGCTTCGCCGGAGACACTCCGCACAGGATTACGGGAGCAGGTTGGTTATATTCTGCAGATTTTGATTTTGAATTTAAATAGAAGCCAAGGCGGTGCTGCTGGTGGTGGGGGCTGTTGTTTTCGGAAACGCACAGAGCCTGCCCATTCCGGTAGAGACTAGGACACACAATAGAACAGGCTAACTAGATGCCCGGCCTACGAGCACAGACAAACAGGGCCGTATCACTGCATAGGCGGCTTTTAATTATCGAAGAGCAGACATATTGACCCCACACACACACACACACACACACACACACAAACAAAGCAGAGCAAAACAAAACAATGCTAAGCTCCCTCCGACGTGACAGCGTGGACAATGCCCATAATTATTTCATAATCGGGCAACACTTCATATTTATGGTGACAAAAGCCTGCAGATGGACAAAGCAAAGCCCCTGCAGGGAATTCCAGCCCCAGCCCCAGCCGCAGCCCCAGCCCCAGCCTGAAAGTGGGCCAAAAATGGTTTGGTTCAAGCTTAAATTAATGAATAATTAAACCGCATTCGGGCAGACGATCGGCGAGGCGGAAATGCAGCATTTGCATAACTAACACAATGAACTACATGCGAGTGCGCGCCAGACAAGAAGACAATCCATTTCGATGGCAAATGGATGGACACGAGGGGGAGGGGGTGGGGGGGATGTATCGAGCCCCGTTCATAAATTAGACATGCAAATGTGCATTCAAAACTAACGGCATGGCCTTTGTCAATTAATCAATCAATCAGCGGCAGCTCCAGAAAGCAGCTCCGTTGCGGAAATAACTTGTCCATCTGCCCGGCCAGCCCCCAACGCCTTCGAACCCAGCGCTATCCCCCGTCCAGGCCTCCCACGTCCGTAAACGCGTGTGTCACCCATGATTTTTGATTGGCCGCAGAGTTCAGAACGCTCCATCGCCGGCTCTGGGGCTGGGGCACATCATCGATGCCGATCTCCGAGGCTAAGGCGATGGAAGTGTCATTAGCTTCAAAGGGTAACGTGGACATGACAGCGGTTCAGCACAGTGGAGCTTCTGGCATGAAGATCTGCCCCATGGCGTGCGACTGTGTCTCAAATTACGACACATTATCCCCAAGCTTTGTATCGCCTTCGATCTGGGCACCACTGTGCCACGTCTCTTCAATGTCGAACCATCAAAGTCGTGTGCACTCTTTGTGTAATTCAAATTCAAAGCGAGTGCGAGTGCGAGTGCGTGTGTGCCCCATCGCGCCCCATGAAGGTGGAGGTGGACATGGAGGCGGGTCTGGTCCCTGGACCTTCTCCACTGGCTTGCTTGTGCACTCGCGCGAACTGCTTTTAAGTGGCGTCGGCGTCGGCGGCGGCGTCGGCGCTGGTCAGGGTGTGTGCCTCGTTGGGTTTTATGGTGGGGGCGGGGGGAGGAGTGACCATTTGAGCGCAGTGTGCTGCTGCTGACGATGCAAATTCGTGAGCAGCTCTTTGCAGCGTTTTGAATATGTTACTGTGCCCGTCCGGCCAGTAAAAGAAATTGTTTTTGGGGAATATGGACTAACGAGGAGTCGACATCAAAGACAGAGAGAGGTAATCTCCAATCGAAGACTGTGTAATCCGCTTGAATCGAACCGAACCCACTTCCAATTGCTTTCAGTGTACGGCCCCACAAGGGAGTCGACTTTGTCTATTCAACTTCCGCCTAGTGCCCCGGCCAGTGCTTATTTCTTCTTGGAGCTTCTATTCGTTTCTATTTTTAATAATTCAAGTTCGAGCTGTTTCTGGTCTGAGGCCTGGACACGCGCTGAGGCCGCACTTGTCCCATCGTAACTGTTTGAGAAATGTTGTGGAGAAATGACAAAGTGACC